TAATAATAATAATAATAATAATAATAATAATAATAAATTATACATTTTTCTAAATATTTAACACATATATAAATTATATCATTTATAAAAAAAATGAAAGTAGGATGATAAGTGCAGTTTTATTTATTTTGTAAAAACCATAATGTTTTTCCATATTTCATGTTCATTTAGTTAAATTTAATCATTTATCAATTTAAGATAATAATAAGTTTAATTAATGATAATGTGATATTCATCTTGACATACATAGTGAAAGTGTGTTAAAGTAGGGATCATTTAGTCCCACATTGATTTTGAAAGCAAAAAAGAATGTAAAAAGTAACTATAAAAGGCTAGAGGCATGGGACAATCCCACATCGATTCCAAACACAATAATAAAGGCCAAAAGTGGCTATAAAAGGTTGGGAGATTGAAACATTTGATTTACAATTATCCCACATTGGATGAGAAAGTCCAATGAAAGGCAAAGAATGACTATAAATATTGTAGCAACTTGCCTTAACAATTATTAATTGGTTTCTTTGATATTTGATAATATTAAAAAGTTATATAGTTTTTAAAATATTTAAATTATAAAAAAAAAAAAAAAAAAAATTGGATCGGCCGCAATTACGGTGCGGCCGCGCGAGTTGCAGCCGCAATGCTGCCGAGCTAGTGGTCGCCGCAATTAGCGGCCGGCCGCGCGAGTTGCGGCCGCAATTAGCGGCCTGCCAGCAGAAAAAGAAAAAAAAAATAAATAAACATTGAAAAGGACAAAATTGTCTTTTTTGGGTGCGGTATTTAGTAAAAAGGGGTGCGGTATTTATTAACACTCAAATTAATATGTATGATTCCTTATCTTATAATTTTATTTTTTATAATTAATATATTTTCATTTATTACTTATAAAATAACGATGAAAATAAGAAAAATATTTATTTAAGTTTAAATAATTTTTTAAAAATTATTAATTGTGAAACTCGATTGTCCATGAAAAATTATTGGGAAGAAACAAATGAGGAAGAAAAGTCCCAACGACTAAAAACAAGTGTTGACTATCAGTCTTGGTCTTCTTTAGCAGCCTAAAACAGAACATACCGTGTAATTTGACTAGGAGATAAACAAATTGAAAAGGAACTCCCCGTGTTCAACTCGTACCTTTTTTAAGCTGGTTGCTCCATGTAAAGCTAGATATTTTCGTTGTTATTCATTCTCCTGACACAAGTTTGGGGCATTTGAACTCGGTAAGACATCTCATTTAATCTATAACTATAAATAAGTTGAAACTTGAGCGATGTCTGCTCGGTCCATCTACGACAACTGGGAGAGGCTCGTGTTGGCCACACTGCGCCGAGAACAGCTCTGGCAACTTTGCCATGCGGACTCAACTGACCTCAGCATTATCTCCCTCTCCCTAACCTCAAGTTATTGCGCCCACTCTTTCTTGCTCAACATTAGTTCTTCCCGTTTGTACCATGCGGTTGAGTACAACTCCCAAAAACTCGTGACTTGGTACATGGAGGAGACGAGAGATGAAAGCACGATCCTGGTGAAGAGAATGAGGGGGGACAAAATTCTCTTACCGATAACATATTTTTCGTATGATATGGACGAAAAGCTCGTTGTATACGAGTATAACCAAACTCCGACAAGTAAGCTTATTATCTCCTTATATATTTCGTTTTAGCATGCTAATAGGATTTGATTAGAATTAAAGCTAATTAAGTGTTGTCATTCCCAGGCAAGACAGCCACAAACCTAATGAATTGGGAGTCTCGTCTCAAGATCGCGACCATCGTCGCAAAAGCGATTGCCCTTGCGCATGCGAAACCTACAACCAGTACGCATCCCTTGGAAGATTTTTCCGGCTCCTTATTAAATGACTTGGCCTCGTCATCGGCCCTACGCCTTGCGATTTCTACCGGTGGGTACCGATGCCCCGAGGCTGAGCACCACGGGATCGTTTCGTGGGCATCCGATGTCTACACGTTCGGGGTTCTGCTGTTGGAGCTCCTCATGATACCATCTCCCTTCAATATCAAGGGTAGTAGTGCCCATCCGGAGCAGCTCGTGAAGAGGGTTTTAAGCGTGTTTCGAGACGAGGGGACTCTCATCGTTTTCCATTTCATACCAACAAATGTGGCGGGGGAGCTGATCGAGATGTGGAAGGTGCTGCTGCTGGCGTTGAAGTGTGTGGAGGAAGACCCGCAGAAGAGACCGGCTATGGTAGATGTTGTGAAGATGTTGGAAGGTGTAAGCAAGACTGATCGGGCTACCAAGCATACAGCTCTCATCAGCCTTTAATATTCGCTCGGGCCGTGTCGGTCATGAAAAATATTAGTGACCGTAAGCCCATAACTCTAGCTAAGATATGCTATAGTACTTGATAGAAAAATTTGTGGTTCTAGATCGTCAAATAATTGAAGGTATTTAATGAAAAATTCAACAAATTCAAATATTTCATATATGAGAATTTGAGATGCATAATGCTGGTTGTCACATTCTAGATGGCTATCTAGTATAAAGATTATCCTTATCTCCAATCCAACCAACTCAACCTAATAATTAAAAAGTATTTCTCTCTCCCTCACCCACACAACTTAATCTTCCAACTCAATTTATCTTTATTCCCAACCCAACTCAACCTAAATATTTATTTTATTTTAATTTATTAAAAAATTACAATTATGTTCTAAAATACAAGTGTGGTCTAGAGAATGAAAAAATACGAATTTTAGTATTTTTTTATTTTTTTAGAAACAAAAAAAAATACATTTATCCAATAAAAATGGGACAAGTGTCCCATTCCTACACAAAAACAGTCCGCGATCCTGGGTCACCATGTGACCTGGGTCGCAAAGTTTGTGACCTTTTTTTTTTTTATTTTTTTTTCAATTTTTTGTTTGTCTTATTCCCGTGACCAAATAAACACAAAAGATTCAAAATTTAGCCTACAAATGAAAATGACTTGTAGACTAAGGTCACATGCCAAAAGTTCACCAAAACAAATCAATTTCGATGTTTTCCCTACAATTCTAAGACAATCCCAACACGTCTAATGATTAGTGAATGACGAAAAATAAATCGCGAATTCGAATGAGATGTACTAAATCAAATCAAACTATAAAAAAGTGAATAAAAATAATCCCAAAAGTAATATAAGAGTAGTAATAAAGAACACAAGCCCGAAAGATCCTTGTCGTGCGAAAATTTCTTTTGCTTGTCCGTGCTCTTCTCCGAAAATACCACGTTGCTTGTGCTTCTCCTCTCTATCTCCACGCTGAAGCTTGCCAGGAAAATAATAAATCCTTTTGCCCTCTCTTCAACTCCACACTAATCTCCAAACTAAATATGAGTGCTCCTTTTGCATATGTATGACACACACACACACCCTCACACCCTCTGCTGCTCTTTTTTTCAATTATGAACTCGAACCCTTGCTGTTATCCTCTTGTCTTTTGTTTCCCGCGTTTTTTTTCCATAGCCTCCAAATCTTTTTCATTCTTATCTCTTCCTTTGTTAGTAGAAATCTAGTAAGAGAAGAAAATCAAATAATAAAAGGAAACCAAATAGCAATTATATTATATTAAATATAAAACAACTACACTACAAAAAAATTGTTGTATTCCAACGGAAAATCCTATGTTAATATATTTCAATAGAAATTCCAACAGATATTCCAATAGTATATCTTTCGTTTAAATAATTCCAACGATAATATTCCGTTGGAATGTATTTTTCATTGGAATTTTAGATGGAATTTGATGATTCCAACGGCTCTATTTCCAACGACTTTTGACTGTATGGATTTCCGCTGCAATGTGCAATTTCTGTTGGAATTTTTATTTCAACCACCGTTGGAAAATCTATCGTTAGAATCGTCAAATCCAACGGAAATTCCAATAGAAAACTCATTCCAACGGAATATTTTTGTTAGAATTTTCGTTGATATATTCCAACGGAAATAATAGCATTGAAATATTCATTGAAATTGCTGTTGGAATTATATTAGAATATATTTTCGTTGGAATTTCATCATTTTTTTGTAGGGCTAATATAAATATATATATATATATATATATATATAGAGTTAGGATCACATGAGAATGGTAGATAGTGAAAGAAATAAGAATGATTGTATGTCATTGGATTCATTAAATTAATGGACCTGATCAAGTCAAACATTAATAATACCAGTCAATTATGGAGTGGCAATAAAGTAAATAAGTGGTCATGTTGGAGTAAATATAAACAACTAGCCATTAAATAAGGACATACTAGACATTTCTAATCTCAAACTCATCCACCCACGTGGACCCCACCCACCCCCACTAACCACACCAATAATCACCCTCTCTCACACACAAACACACACTCTTTCTCTCACATACACACGCACACGAATAGACACACACTAACATTCTCATCGGCGCCGCCCAACCTGGCACAAACATGGCAGAATCTCCCACCGCCCATCGGCCACAACCCGACCGGCTACCGCCGCAAGCGTCCGCCGCCAGCATCCGTGTAATCGTGTTTCAACGCCGCCGCTAAGGTGCCCCGACGTGCCCAGATCCCGGCGCCTTCAACTGCAGCATCTCGCCGGAGTTCCTCGTCGTCGCGCCGGCTGGTTAATCTCGATACTCCGTCCGCCAATTTCGACCCTCAGCCCCTAGCTGTTTCCGGCGAGGACGAATTCGTCAAAATCAGCAAAGGGGCGGCGGCGGTGTGCCATTGAATAGGGCAGTCGATGTTGTAACTGGCCGGCATAGATCATTAGAAGACGAAAATCATCGGCCGATAAGAGGTGGCGGCCGGCGAGAAGTCGGAGATGGTGAAGATATTTCGCTATTCTCGATCTCCTAATTGAATCTGCCATCATAATCATAGTCGGGGCAATTGATTTTACAGATTCGGCCAAAAAACGATGGGGATAGGGATGATTTTCTATTTTTACAGAATTGAAATTGTTGGGGGCATACATATGAGAATTTGATAAATTAAAGGGACTTAATTGCAATTTTAAGAATTTTATTAAATTTCAATTTAATCCTTGTATCAAATATGTAATTTATAATAAACATACTAATGAACAATAATGATAAAGAAAGTAAGAAATATCTACGTAATAAATTCCTTATAACCGAGATTTTAAAAGTAAAAAATTTATAATCGAACTACAGGATAAAATTTCGAACTGAAAAATTTAATTTTATCCATTTCGATCGATATGGTGCAATGTGATAGTCATTAGTGTGCAATTCATATAACAATATTGTGCACTTGCAATACATAATAATAATAATAATAATAATAATAATAATAATAATAGTAATAATAATAATAAT